AGGGAGAGAGAAAGAGAGAGGGGGAGAGAGAGAGAGAGAGAGAGAGAGAGAGAGAGAGAGAGAGAGAGAGAGAGAGGTGTTCGCCACATAATTGACAAGACATATGTTTTTTATCCCACACAACTTACTCTCTTCATCGAGACGTGGAATTTGTCCTGATTACTGTGATTCCGTACACCCCCATTGCCTTTGGAGATGATTTGTTGACTGTGAAGGCACGACAGTCGGCCTAAAGGGAATTACGTTGTGTCTACAGCGGGGAAAGAATAAAATTCGTGGAGATGAAATTATAGCTCTTTCAATCCGGAGCGAAATCGATCAAACGCGAGAGTGTTTCGTTGGAAATTCAGATATTTTCAATCGACCATGCGTCGAATACGCATCACCTACGCGTTACTACGTACGTCCATCGTGAAACTATGTTCGCGCGCTCGAAAAACCGATGTGCGGACCGCCGTCTTTGGGAGGAAGACTCGAAGGACGGATCCTGATATTAACATTTCGGATATTAACGGTGGGACTTAATACCGGGATACCGTGATGAATCGTCTCGCGAAACGGCCGAGCGATCGTTGCTGTCGCGCGTGTTGGTGGATATACTTTCGCAACACCCTGCATTTCGCGACAAAAAAATAATAAGAAGGAGAAGATTCATCTCCCCGGTTCTAAATACGCCCGCGGTGATACATCACGCCAACGCGAAACGAGAAAATTACCAAAATTATTTACTTCTACATTTTTTAACTACAAAATTGCATGGATATTTTTAAATGGTGGAAATTTCATGGAGTGAAAAAGAGAGAAAAAGAGGAGAGTAATTTGAAAAACTTATTTCGCCAATATATTTAAGTTGATGTAGAGATAAAAATTCATGTTTCCTCTGCGGACGTACATTTTTAAATCGCGTATATTTAAGCAAATATCGCACGGTTGTCCGACCTTTTAAAACTCTTTCGCGCTTTTTTGTCGGGTGTGTGCATACGCCCGCGACTACTTTCCATTTAGACCGCGCGTTCAACGTGAAACGCGGCTATTTAATTGTAAGTTTCATTTACCTAATCCACGGATTGCGTTTTCAGCATGAGACACGAATCAAAAAGTGCACGTGTAGCGCTAAATCCGTAGAAGCGGGCATGCGAAATATTCCCGTGTCTGCGACTGCAGTATTTTCGCTCATAGTATCATCGCTCGCGCTCATCAAAACCACCCCCATACTTCCACGATCAAATTACCCGTGTAATTAATTAACTAAACATACCAATCAACCAAGCACTTTACTCATGCCCAACCAATTGCTCGCGGACTAAGCTAATTACGTTGTGCCGTGTCAAAGACATCAGGACGCGTGTGCGGATTCTGTTCGCACCGCTCGTCCATTAACCAAAGAGATAAGCGCGGCGAGAAGCATGGCCCCGAGGAAAAGCACAGCCCGAAGCTCTGCATTGGAGAGAACGATGGAATTGCTACGTCAAAGTCGTATGCCAGAAATCACTATGTACGTTAGAACTGAAAGCCCGCCAAAGCAACGGGCGAGATGCTGACGAGAGGCAGGTGTGCGGACATAGAGGAACATCTTGACAACAGAAAGCTCGCTTTAATGAGGATCTAGAGTCAGGCTCGCGTGAAGAAGAAGCGCATAAAAATAGCAGTTGCGTCAAGAATAAGGAGAAGGTGGGTCCTGCCAGCGTCACGACGACAAGGACGACCAAGGATGGATGGGTTTTCTCGTCTCCAACGAGAGAGAGAGAGAGAGAGAGAGAGAGAGAGAAAGAGAGAGTGAGAGAGACTAACGCTACATAAGACTACGCCTTTCGTAACATACGCCGACGTTTTAATGGCGCACCTATTGTTGACGCCAGTTCAACGTGAGTTAGACTGCTTCCTTTTCCGTCGCGGAAGGTAACATGTCGGCACGGCATAAATTATAGCGAACTCTTTGAAAGGCGCTACGTTCGAGCATTCGAGCGTGATATATGCATACGTGATATATATAAACGTTTCTGTTTCGTCCTTTTCCTATAAAAAACCCATCCCTTTTGACACGACATGCGCAAGGATACCGTGGAAAACACAAAGAATGGTAAAGGAGCTTGTTGCAGGGAACAGATGGATAAAAGCAAGATTACTAGTTTTACGCGGATTACTTTCTCCCTCCTCTTCTCCCTACGTGCGCGGGAAAACGCAAAATAATTTGACGCAACGCGACTTCCCATCTCTCTTTGTAATTCACTAAACGGGAAAGAAAACCGCGGAGTCGCGGTAACGATTACGACGACGCTCTAAATCACATGCCCCGTAAAGGCGCTTTCACAGCTGATACCTTGATCCTTCCTCCCCATTTTATGAGCTCCTTCATGATCGCGACATCCAAGATTCCTAGATCATCAGCTAAGGATAATCGGCCCTGCTTTCCTCAGCGAAGACGCTTCGATGAACGAGAAAGAACAGTGATAGCAGCGAGACAGCGGCGAGATGAGTGGAGGAGATGAGAGTAGACGATAGAGGAGAGGAAAGAGGTGGGAGGAGGTAAAATGAGAGAGACATAGAAGGAGACTAGAATGGAGAACTGGATCAACGCAGGCGCAAGAGCTATCCCATTCCAGCATACGAGGCGTCGCGACGCCTTTTCGCTTCATTCGGCGTCCGGACGCCAACCACGTCGACGTCTCTGCGAGATCGCGTGTTGTGCATCGCATTCGCACCACCGCCACCACCACCGCCACCACCACCGCCACCACCACCACCACCGTCGCCACCGCCGCTGATATTATCGACACCACCTTCGCCGTTAACGTTGCCAAACAGTCATGCTGTTCGCGGGCGAAGCGAGAAAATCGTGAGGGAGATCGGCGTAGAGACGATCTGGAACAGTCGAGATGAACGCGAGCGAATTGGCCGATCGCGAATTAACGGTTCATCGAATGTAATTTCAGCCGGTAGCATTCACGCGGTCAAACAAAACAGAGAAGAAAAGGGAGGGAGGGAGTGAGAGAGAGAGAGAGAGAGAGAGAGAGAGCTCGTTGATTGATCAATCGGAGGGAACAATAACTCGAAGCTGATGGCAGCAACGGGAGAAGTGGAAAATCGCAAGCGGACATTTGTGCACTTCGTAGCAGATTGACGATAATGCTCGATTCGTGCTCGAACGCGCATTACGCTGTACGTAGGAAAGTGTTTCCACATCGTGCTTGTGAATCCACCGTATCACCGCGGGGTGCGACGTACACGATCAGAAACCGCAAGGTCCCTACCACCAGTGGCACGTGTCACTGGCCGCACGTGTCACATGACTCGCGCGAACAACCGCGATTTCGCGAGTTCGTGCGAAATCGCGCGCGTCGCGGCCGCTTTGAGAAAGACAGACTGATTCGAGCGTGTCTTGCCGTCTACCAACTCGCAGCAACGCAACCTTAAGGTGTCTTCGTGATCTGGGACTGTTGTTGGAGGAGGACACACTGAGGTGTTCTTTGCACTTGCGGAAGATAAGAGCGCAAACTTCGCGGTGAGGAAAGAAGGGGATCCAAACCTTTCTTTCCGCGCGACATTGGTTCCCAGTACGTGTCAACTGTCCAAGCGTAAGCTTTGCGTAACATACTTCGCGAATGTTGAGCCAAGTACACGTTCACGCTGTGCGCCGCGCTTCGGAACGACGAGTCGCACTTGAACAATACGCGCGCAAAATATTTCATTCGCGGCATCGCGTTGCCCCTTTGACAATGTAAAACTTTCATTGAAAGTATACGCGGTTATGATTGCCCGCATTGGATCGACGAAGATACTTCAAACGTACGGTAACTTTGTTCCCTTCCCTCCCTTCTCTTTTTTCTCTCTCTTTCTTTCTCACTCTCCACGTGGGCGAGAGCAAAGCATCTCAAAGTTATCGCGTAATTTCCAGTTCAAAGAACTCAGAAGAATTATCACGTTTCCTCGGCGCTGAACCGGCAAACGACAACTTTTCCCTACCGGCTGTGCATGCTCAGCTGAAACTGTAAAGTGTATTTTAACGAAATCACACAACGCGCACACCAGATGATAAACGGATACACGCGAATAACCAGGCTGTTCTGTCATCAAAGATATGAGGGTCTTCCCGCTTATAGTGAAATGTGCCAAGTATATATCTATCTATAGAGGACACTCTTTTCCTGACATTGCTCGTGCACCCGAGATAACTGTCATTGACGACACTAAGTCGAAGATATTGAAAGTTGTATAAAATTAATCCGATATAACTTGCTGTTAATCTGGCAGCGCGATAACTTTTAGTCATACGTTCGATCAGGCGGCCAGCGGATGTCGTCACTTAGAGAACATCAGCTGCCGTGGGTGATAGTGTCGTAGTATGTCTGTCATTGATGTAATTTCATGTGATAACGTGATTAGAGTAGATCATTATTCTCTATTAGAGCCCGGCCACGACAAAAACAAGATCCCGAGCCCTCAACTTACTCGTGCCACGTTCTTCATGACACACGTGAGCCGCAAACGCATCTGTCGCGTGGACGATAGTGACAACTCGATCGAAGGGAAACAGCGGAGCTGCAAAACGCGCGAGGAAGAAAAAGTTCGTTAACCGTGCCCCCTAACGACTAGCCTTGCACGTGCGTTGCGATCGCCACCCGGGGATCACCCTGCGCGAAGATGAATTCCAGTCATGAGTCAAACGACAATCTCACGTCGGCGGAGAACGGGGACTACACGTGCGGCGCGAAACTCGAGTCTTTCCACAACAGCTACGCTCAGGTGCACGGCTGGGCGAGCCTGCAGGTGTGCATATTCGGCTCGATCGCCAACGTGCTTAACATTGCCGTGCTGACCCGCCGCGAGATGCATTCACCCACCAATATGATCCTGACCGGGCTCGCGGTGGCCGACTTGCTCGTGATGATCGAGTATATACCGTACGCGATCCACATGTACCTCTACCAGCGTTCCCGCAGAGACACCTTCACCTACGGTTGGGGCGTCTTCGTGTTGTTCCACTCGAACTTCGGTCAAGTGTGCCACACAATCTCGATCTGCCTAACAGTGATGTTGGCGATCTGGCGATACATCGCGGTCGCGTATCCGCAGAAGAGCCGCGAGTGGTGCAGCTACACCCGCACCGTGCTCACGATCATCGGCGCCTACATGTTCTGTCCGATACTGTGCGTGCCGCTGTACGTCACCACCGAGGTGAGACCGCACGTGGAGGTGTTGGACGAGCAAGGCATGAGCGTGAACCTGACCAGGCTCAACGGCACTGTCTCGCTCGAGGGCGCGACCAACACCACGTTGTACTTCGTCAAGCTCACGGAGACCGCGAGAATGCATGCGGCGCTGAAGAAAATGAACTTTTGGATCTACAGTGTGGTAATCAAGCTGATACCTTGCTTGGCGCTCACCGTGCTTAGCTTCAAGCTGATACGGGTGCTTGTGGAGGCGAAGAGACGCAGGAAAAAGCTCATTCCGAAGAATACTAAGATCAAGATGAGCAACGGCAAAGACGCCGCCTGCGAGAAGCCGTGCAAGAAGAGGCGGAAAGGCGCCGATAAAGAGAAGCAGACTGACAGGACCACTAAGATGCTACTCGCGGTGCTCGCATTGTTCCTCATCACGGAATTCCCGCAGGGCATACTGGGACTGCTCAGCGTTATTCTGGGCACAAGTTTCTTTAAAACGTGCTACGTCATGCTGGGTAAGTCTCACGCGCGTTGCTATTCGAGCGCAAACATATCTGCGTGTATGTGCTCGTTCGGCCAGATAATCCAAGCTCTCGTTGAGCATCTCAATTTCCAAAGTGGAAACGCGACATCCCGCTGCTCACGATCGCTTTCGAGTGGAATAATTGCCGAACATTCGGATTTTTTATCAGCATATTTCACGTTATTCATTCGGCTTTTATCCACATATATTTCTGGTTGGATATGTATTGATATTTAATTACGCGTGTAACATTCAGCCGCAGCATGTCCCGGACCGGGAATATTTAAAATTCTTTATGAATATGTGATTTTTTTACGATTGTATTCTTTGTAGATATATTTGGTTAATCTTCCTCTTCATTTATATTATTCATCGTCAGATTTTGCGCGCTTTCATCGCGTATTTGCACGCGAAAATCATATGCTAATTAAATATTTCTGTATCCCGTCCCACGCTCTTTCCCTCCCTTTTTCTTTTTTTTTTATTCCGTCGCGAGTTCCTCGCAAAGCGATTAGTAGCAAGTACGATTATATCGCACGGAGAGCATCATCGTACGGTTTCCCTATAATTAACGAGCGCGTTAATAAAAATTTAATCGCGACTGAAGAAATAAAGAGCCATAGAGATGGATTCCATGAGGCATACTACCGTGCAAAAAAAGAAAATAAAAAATCGCTCAGTTAAATCTTATAAAGAAAACGTTATCTCCTCGTTTCAATATATTTCCATAAAAGGCGAGACCCGCGGCAGGTTCTCGAACAAAAACTTCTTTAGTTCGAATCTTTCTTAGAAATCTGGAAAACTTGCGAATGACGAACTGGCGACGATATCACCGAGATATGTCAGAGCGGATTTTACACGTGGAGACAAACACAAACGATGCTATCAAACTGCACGAATTGACAAAGGAAATCAATTTCAGGATTTCTAAGTGCATTCATAGGTGTGTATTAATAAGTACTAAACGACGTCCGCCCGATCGATCTTTGACTCACACTATGTGTGAATCTCTTATTTCACGATCATCGTTAATAGCGCTGATAATATTTGCGTATAACGACGTAATAATCGCGCGCACACGATCATTAGTACCAATAAAACCCTGTTAAAAGTACACGATGAGAAAAAATGCGGTCGCTCTTGTTGCTAAAACAGGAGCTGGGACGAGCAATTGAGCCGGCATAAATTGACGCCGACGCTCAAATTTCAGTACGTGATTCGGAGACAAAGGAATGATCCGATTTCAGACTACAGTTCTTGTCACAGTGGCGAGAATCGACACGTGGATCTCTGCGATCTCGAACACTCTCGCTGCAAATCTAGCGGATTCGTCTATGAGATTTCGAATTCTATTTCGAGAATTTGTACGCGCGTTGTAGATAGATACATACACTGAGAGAAAAGACTGGTAACTATAACAAACTGCATTTAGTTACAGAAATTCGTTGAATCCTTAGTAACTAATACTAAATATGATAATAATTACCAAATATTTAATAGATCGGGAGTATGACGTAATTGCATTCACAGTAACATCAATTAAATAATTTAGTAATAGTTACTTAATATTAAATATTTAATATGAAATATAGTTATGAACAGATATTTGATAATTGTTATGAAATTCTTATATCCCATGTAATAAAATATTCAGTAGGTACGAGTTCTATTTTGTTACCAGTATAAGTATGTTTTGTTGCAGCACAACGAAAAATTCATTCATTTGCAGCTATTACATCGTTTCAATATCTATTATTACAGATGGTTGGTTGAACCTACCAAACATTTTGTAACTATTACAAAATCGCTTATTTTGCTCAACTATTCAATAAGTTTTATTTACCAAATATATTCTGGAAGCAAATAAATTTTACTTCTATCAAATAAATAATTTATTTTACAGAACTAAATTAATTAATAAGTATTGCCATAGCTTTGGCCCGCTATATTTACGTCTACCATTTAGTAATAGTAACTAAATTTTGATAATATTTATTAAATTCTTCTCTCAGTGTACGCCGCGGCGCTCCCGATATTTGCGATAACACGTTCATATAAAACTTCTTGAGTCGAAATTTGGGTCCTACTTTCTCTCTCGAGCTCAATAACGAATTCAATTCCATTTAACTTAATTCCACGCTCATCTTGAGACCTTAAAATCTATGTCAAAATCTTTTACTGACTCTATTCAATACTTATTAACTTTGTCAAGAGATCCTCTTTAAAACCTACAAGTGGCATTTTGTCCTGCCATTTAAAGGCGCCAAGTAAGTCTTTAGTTTGTATACACTCATAAAGGTATGATTCTTTGCCTTATACATGACTTCAAGAGAATTTCTCTTGAGATTAAAAAGAAGATATTCCAATATTCAAAACTCTAATTGCAAAGTGCTATTTCCTGTAATCTCAAACTTCCCTTTTGGAATGGAATATGTTTACTTGAAGCAGAGCACATCCTTTTACTAGAAGAAATTTCTATTAAGAACAAGATTTATACGTTTAGATAAAAGACTAAATTTCTCTAACGTTAAGAATATTGTGCTTGGAATATCTTCCTTTTGATTTTAGAAAAATCTTCTTGAGGTCTATAGAGGAGATAGGATATCCTCTAAGAGTATACATAAGATTATATTTATTATTGAAAATAAAATATTTTATTATTTTCTGAGTATACACATTGAACTTAGATACACTTTATACTTTCAGAACTTAGATGTTAAATCAGATGTTACAACAGATGTTAAAAGAAAACTCAGCTCGAAAGTACGACTGAAATTTCAACTCGGGTTGAACCGTAAAAAGTTCTCATCACAAGCAGATCACTCGTTACGCGAAAAACAACAATCGGACGTATAGTTTTTATAGCAAAGTTTTTATTTCACGCAATCTTACCGTCACATATAATCGTTAGGACGACATTTCGCAAAACGAGCGTGCGCGCGGAAAACGATGAATCATTGACGTACCCTTCCTCATTAACCGGTGGAGCATTTGAAAGTGTACACCGTTTGAAAGTATCGGGTTAACCTGGGAAGCCGTCTATGAGAGATTTTTCATCAAGAAACCGGGAAAGAGAGAGAGAGAGAGAGAGAGAGAGAGAGAGAGAGAGAGAGAGAGAAAGTCAGAGAAAATGGAATCTTCAAATTTACCTTCGTTTCGCTCCTTGTGACGCGGCGGAAGTGAAATTATTGTGTTCGACGATAAATTGCGACGTCATGGGAAAAAAGAACCGAAACGAAAAGCAGTATATATCAACGATTCACGAACACATCTCAAGCTGTTTGATAAACTAAAATCACGCAAAAGAAAGTTCAGATCTGCCACCGATTTGCCGTCGCGTATTAAATAAAATCTTGTAAGTTATTTCAAGAAACGACATACTTTTCATAGGAAAAACGTCATGTTCTGAAAGAAATTACGACAACTCATTTTTCAGGTCATTGTGTTACAAGTCGTCTTTTCGATCTCGGTGATCTAATTACGCATTTATACTTTTGTAAAATAGTTATGCAAATAAGATATGATATGATGTGTGTGTGTGTGTGTGTGTGTGTGTGTGTGTGTGTGTGTGTGTGTGTGTGTGTGTATAGAGAGAGAGAGGGGGAGAGGAACTGATATTTTTTTTTAAATTTGAAGTTTCATGAATGCAAGGAGGATCAAGAGGCGCGCCTCATGAATATTCTTCACTGACGAGCTTCTTTCTCACTTAACTGCGTTGATAACAAATAAATTGGGGGTTTGTGGAGTAAATGACATCTGACGAGATGACAGAAACGTAAATCTTCATCAATTTGACTTAACAGGTCTACTTATAACGAGAAATTTATCGTTTTTATATATAAGCCGTGATTGCCTAAATGGAAAATGTGATTAGTCTTATGAAACAATATTATTCACGACTGAAAAATTGATCGGGGGGAACACTCGGAAAATCAAGAATTCCATAATGTAAATAACTGGATTTCGTGAAATGTAAAATCCCACGGGAATTTTCAAACATTTCACAATAAAAAAAAAATGTCTAAACGTCCAAAAAATGTCATGCTTCCCAAATTTCTGTGAGTCCTGCGAATGACAGACGATTTTACGTATATTTCTACGTGGATTCACCTGTGTACGCCCGGGTTTTCGATATGCGACTAGCGTCGAGTAACAGTAATCTGGTTACATTTGTATTCTATCTCCGATTGGTGTATTCTGATTAACACGTGTACTTCCACCGATATTGTAGTCGTATACAAATGTATATTGCGAAAGTAAAGGCCATCAGCATCGCGTATTCAACATGTCGATATACCACATGCGCCGTACGGTATACACCCTACTCCTCTAATTTAAATACGGGACTTTGTAGGAAATATAAATTTTTATTTCAACAAGGCGAAAGCTTGTAAATGTTACGTAAATATCACGATTACATTAATTAATCATCAGTCAATAATTGCATTAGTCGTCAGATTTACCATTGATGTTTTTATGCATGAGTTATGCATTCGTTCATCGACCGTGGATTGCAGAAAATTCGAAATGTTTAGCGTGAAAATTGAAAGATGTTACTTGAAGAAGTCGCTCGTGTAATTTGCGCATAGTGAATATTCCAATTGGTGACATTTGCATCCACTTTTTTAATAAATCAGAATTAATATATACGAGTCAATATTTATCTTAAACATGAGTTCTTACTGTAAGTTTTATATATATAAATTTTTATATATAAAAAGAGATTTTATATATCATGAGTTTTTATATATAAAAATTCATTATTTATATGTGTATATATATATATATATATATATATATATATATATATATATATTCATTAATTAACTCAACACGTATATTATTAATTTACTTATTTTCACAGTGAGATTACTTGGCCAATAACTGGGATATTTACCTTTCTTTTACCATCATCACGACATGCAGTCTGAATGTATATTTCAAAAAAGAAGCAATTTAAAAGAGAAAGTAATTGGATTGATCTGTCTGTTT